AAAGTTATAGAACTGAAAGAGACACTTCACAATACGAATCATAATCTGCTACTCCTTCATGTTATTGTTTCACTAACGGCGGAAGATATAGGGAAACTGCGAGTTTAGTTTACAGCAATCATGCAGAAATTATGGTCAAATGAATCATGAATCCTTTCTGTGGTGTTTCAATTACTTTTCCCTCAAACCAGATCATTCACCAGGTGTACATGGAATTTTAGGAATCGACCATGACCTTGTGTAGGGTCCAGCCTCTTTTTGTCTCTTCCCTTATAAAGTATGTTGTGCAAGCTCCAAATTCTGTGCTGTGATATTTTCTTAATGAATCTAGCATTATGTAGTAAGCGAGTTAACAGGAGGGAGGAGAATCATAAACAACTGCTAATGCTAGGAAAGCAGCTTATGATCCCCGCCAACTCCCCCACTTCCACCTTTCCCAACCCACAAAACAAAGCCTTACTCGAGCGTCTATGCCAGAGTTTATGTTAATTGTTAATTTACTGAAAAGAGAGTAGAATAACCCCATTGGTAATCAGGGTGAAATTGTTACTTCGGCATTACCAGTATTCTTGATTATAAAGAATTCGTGGCAGGACGGCAAATTTCTAAACAAAAACTAGTAATAAGAGTTATAAAGAGGCATGAAACTACAAAGAAAAACCCACAATTGATCTTAGGTCGCTGCTAGGGTAGAGATATCTATTCAATCTTTATTGAAAAAATCTTCCATTTGTCATTATCCAAAGAGAAATAAAGCAATCAAGGTGGTGGCGTGCAACAAATCAGCATTTGCCAGCAGGCCCCAATACTTCAGCCTCAACTACCGATATATACCATAGATAGGTTTCAGTCCATCCAGAAAAAGACTTCTATGGCAACCAAATTACACGTTCGTGCTCGTCACGAGTTTTGTTCATTTGGGTCAAACTCAAAGCAGCTGAGCCATGAATAGATAAAGATTAATAAAGCAAATCTCGAGGAAAGCATGCATTCATTGCTGTCCCCCTTATTTTGTGGGTCTTGCTCATACTAATGGCAACAAGAATCCAGGTCATTGTGCTCAGCATCGTGCAATTTTACAGATTGAGCAGTATTCTTTATGAATTTGATGACGTGAAGTCTTTTAGAAACCTGATCGCCCGATTTCTTAGACTAAACATAAACTTGGACCCTTCGCAGGGAAGATTATCTTTTAATCATTATGGTCAATCAGTGTTAATTATTGTCTTATAGAATAAAGATTTGTGCCCATAGCATTAAATGCCTAGTCTTCCTTCTCAAAGAACACTAATTAAGTCTAAACAAATGTTTCCAGATGAATTTTATTTGGTTAAATGCTTTTTAAGCGTCATCGACCTATAGAAATATGCAAGTGCGCATTTATTTTACAAGAATCAAGAGTACATGGAAAAATTAGCTGACTATATTGAAACTCTATACATGGAGAAATTCGCATCGAGCTATGGAACTCGTTTCAGGGTGACGCGACTCTCTTAATGTTATTTTCTCCTCCATCACTGTTAAAGAAATTCGAACTCAAGACCTTATTTAGGAAAGAAGTACCAAGGTACTCACCACCCTGTCCGACAACCATCGATGTAACTGCGTAAACTTGCGATCATAGATAGGGCGATCATAGATAAGTCCCTCAGTCCCTCTTCTCTTTTTGTCTTGTCTGCTTGATTGATAAACCACCTTTAGTGCGTTTTATGGTCCTCGAATTGAGTTGACAAGGCTACAACCAGAGGAGGACAATCATTTAGCACTGAGACAACTGTTTTCGTTTTGGCTTTAGCGCCGGCAACTGCTTACGATAATTTGTTCTGCATTTGTCCCCAGCCACTGCAGCCCACCTCTTCCCAGTCACCAATACACACACACAGATTAAAACCCAAAAAGATCCCCAGTGCAGAGTATTGCAACAATCCCCATGCCGTTTTCTTGGCGTTTTAATGAACTTTACTATGTATGGAATTGGGCTATTGGAGGATTGACGTGAATCTGTGTAGCAGGCGTAAGGTTAACCTTTAGCATTGTATTGATCCTTCAAGGGAGTGTCCAAATATAGAAGCTTTATGTTGCCATAGGATTTTAGGTGCTAAGAACTCTATCCGTCGCTATTGAAAAAAAAAAAAAAAAATCACTATTCGTCGCAGAAAATGATTAGAAGTCCTCAAACATCCTTTTCTTGTATGAATTTTCATGCAAAAGGTGAAAATTGTATATATTATCAGTATATTAATGGTATTGAAGAATATATTTGTCGTGTTGTTGTGGCATGGTCTAGTTTTATTGTTTGATAAGCACTCCTTACTTATAACATCCTTTATTGAACGTGTACTATGGTAAAGAGGATAATTTTAAAATCAGCGTGGTCGCCGCACACACATTAATAAAATTTTCCTTTATCTAAAATTATGAAACACTTTTAGACTCTCAGAATACGAAATATAATACTACATGGAGGCTTCTAAATAATCATATGATTTTTAGGTGAACCTGTGAGTTCTATATAAGTGGACAACGGTGTAGAGAGGTAATATGACAATTTCATGACAGGATAATTGTGTGGGTTACAAGTGTTGATGGTACTAGCAAGCCAGGCAGACATGGACAGGAGCCGAGTAGGTTAACTGCAGTTGAAGGTGGGGAATCAGACCAAGAGAATGTCAAGGCAGAGTTCAGCAGTGAGATGTCGAGTTTGTTGGACTTTTTCTACAAAATCAATTTCTAAAGATATCTCCATAGCATCATCTTCAAATAATCAAATGAAGTCTCATTCTCAGTTTGGACCATTTTTTAACGCATACGAAGTCAGATGAGAAAACAAGTGCTGCGTACAGGAGCCAAAACCATATCCTTCAAGCAGGAAATATGGCGTTTTTGACATCAAGATATTTTCTTGTTACTCTATATTGTTATGAATCACCTTCACGTGATTGTGGGAAGGGATCGACATCGACTTCAATCTCTGCGGGTAGCTTTTTCTTCAAGGAAATCTGAGTACTTGGAGAAGATTTCTCTTCATGGACTGGTCTCATCTGTGTAGTAAATTCCACAATAAGCTACTTAAAAACTAATAGATCAATGGCTCTCTCTCTCTCTCTCTCTTTAATGTAACGATCCCTCGTCAAGTGTATGATTATATGGCCACTAAGGGTAAAATCTTAAAACTATGTGTCCATAATTTGAAAAATCAACTGCATATGGTATCCATAATTAAGTATATATAGAGATAAAAGAAAATCGAAATATAATAATTGAGTCTTTTTTTTGGTGGGGTGGGGTAATTAAGGATTTATCTTTTCTAATGACTAAGGGTGCGTTTGATAAAATTGAAATCTAAAAATTGAAAATTGAAATCTGAATCTATTAAATTGATGAATTGTTAAGTATTAAATTTGATGTATTTGAGCATATATCACATTAATTTTGCCTTGTTTTGATTACTAAACACGTATGATGAATATGTTAAGATTTGAATCTATTAAATTTAAGTGTTGAATTGATTATCAAACAATACAATGCTGGAGTCCAACTTCGAAGGTCTGGACGGTGCGTTAGAAAAATTGAGTCTCTAGACAATTGGCGGCTCCGACTAAGGAAAACATAATAACAGCGTACGAGAAAATCCACTCAAGGAAAGCAATTTACGAGTAGTATTTTGAGGAAAGTAATTTGGTGGCGTCAGAATGCCTTCTTTATTAAGCACTTGCTCCCCACGCTTGTTATTAATTTATTATGGTATCCTGATCTTGGCACCAACCTTAACCCAAACTATTAAATGCCATCACCGACATATGAATTCTGGGTAAACCGTCCTTCCGGTTCACTCTTTCTTTCCAATTGACCCAATGATCACCCAAACCGGCGGAATCCAGTTGTTTTCCCTTTGGCGTAGGCTTGTGGTGATGTTTTGTTTATCTAAATTTATGCTAAAAAATGTTTAAAATTTTGAACGGTATTGTGTGGCACAAGTTATGAGGATCAACACCCCTTTTTGTCCAGTAAGAAATAGGGCAATTCGTTAGCATAACAAAAAAAAAAAAAAAAAAAAAGCAGCAGAAAACAATTTGAATAGGTACTTATTTGTAAAAAAATCAAAAAATTATTTGCATGATCAACACATTTTTTAACCGTCCTTTTATTTCACATATATCACATCAAAAAAAGTGCTACAGCGTATATCTTTTACATAAAATTATCCCAAATAATCTACTGTCTAAACACACTTAATATTTCTCAAACCAAGAACCGAAGTTCTGTAAGCCAAGAAAGAAATTATTATGCGATTGCATGGATGGATAATAACGTGGCATGGAAGTAATTTTTGTTAAATCAATACTATTATTCTGATTGTTTGCTCGAGTGATGCAACCGCGGCAGTACATAGGGAAACAAAATCAATTAATCTTTTTTTTTTGTCGACGGAGTGGGTGTCCGGGTCAAGTCCGTAAAGGCGGCCCGACTAATCCCACTTCGGTCCGGTCCAGCGCCCCCAACCAGACCTAGCACGTTAGATGCACGGAGAAGCCGATGTTGCTGCGGAGGTTCGACCCCAGGACCTGACGGTCCCGAGGAAGAGGCGCCAACCAAAAGCCCATTCACGTGGGGGCAAACAAAATCAATTAATCACTCTAGCTGCTTCCTAAACTAATTATAATTTAATTATCAAATAATAAATCTAATTCTAGAACTACTAAACTTCTAAATGTGCTTGGTCCATTATGGCCAGCACGCCACAATTATATCTGAATGAAACTTCATTATTGGTGCATAAAAAAAGAAAAGGGCGAGAATTTGACTTCAAACAGTTGAGTTTCCTGCTGTTTTGTCCGCATGTAAACACATCTATTCAGACTGCCACATCATTACAAAACAATAATGACAGTACTCCAGATGCTTTCTTATGAGAGGAATCTTCCTATTAATTCTTCCTCGGAGAAGAGAAGAGAAGAGAAGCCTGCACATTTTGGATCGTATTTTATTAGTACCAAAGAACCATAACAATTAAACGTGATGATAAAAGAGTTTCTTTTTCCTTCCCCCAGCCTTTAGTTGACCTAACTTACGTTGATTAAACTGAAAGCGTAAAAGTCTTTATGGCCAACCATCCCCTCCTAATTAATGCTGGGTTTACACTGCCCGCAAGGCCAGGTAATGAGATTTCAGAGTTAGAGAAACGGGGACGTGGCCGCTACCGGTCTACACGAGCTACTTACCACAACAAAGGCGTGAAACTTTGCTTGTTCATATGGTATAGACTCCTTCACTCGTAGCTACCGTGTTTGAACTTTGAAATCTTAACCCTTCAGCCCGCACAACCAACCAGAAGTCAGAAACTTCCTCCCTTCCCCTCGTTATCCACTTGATGAAGAGTCAAGTAGTTGTTTTAATAGCAGCAGTCAAAATAGTCTCCACAAGACGCCACACCAAAATATATAGTCATCCCTGATCTCTCCAATCCTTCCAATCTCCAAACTACTCAAAAGATGATGGAAAAACCAGTCGAGCAGCTGAAGAAAGAAAGCCAAACCAAGTTTGCCAAGAACGAATCTGCAGAGACTCCTACACTCGTGTTAGTCCAGCAGAAAGAATACCAATCCGAGGTAAATGGCAAAAACGAACCACAGGCCACCGCGAGGCCCCTGGAAAACCAAGCTAAGATTTCTAAATCGGCAGAACAACCAGCTGATGCGGCCGCCGATCCACTTCTTTGGGACTGTGGAAGCTCCCTGTACGACTCTTTCGAGCTCAAGTCGTTTGAACGCCAACTTGACTCGGCCATCCATTCAAGAACTCTGTCAATGCCCCACTTATCTGATCGTCGTGTGATTGATGGTGGTAATCACCACCAGCCGCCATCTCAGCCGCCTCAGCCCATGTCTAAGAAGTCCTCCAAAATTTCGCGTTCGTTTCACAAGTTTCTTCGATCTGTATTCAAGCCCAAGGCACAAAATGGTAACAAGAATCCTTTCTTTCCCGCTAATGAGCAGCAGGCCACGCGGGATGGATTTTACGTGGTCTACGACATTGACAAGTCCGGGGCTCTTTCAACTATTCCAGAAGTTTCGGAGTTCGATGGTCTTTCACCCGAGTACAAATCTTTGGTTACAAGAACTGCATCCGATCGATTTGCCGTTAGTTCCATGGGTATTTCTTGTGCTTGATTAGATATATAGAAACTGCGGCAGTGTGAATATTTCCATAATCAGTAAAATTTTAGACGTGCCTACGAACTAAACTGAAATAATATTCCCTAATGATTGTATAACCAGTTGTACAGTGTCATGCTCCGTAGTGATTGTATTTTATGTATTTGGGTTTCTACCCTTTTTGTCTTTCTTATAATTCTGACATTTGGCACATCTTTAATGCGTATAATGAATAGATTTTTCTTTCGTTTTAGAGAAAGAGATGCAATAGAGCCAAAGTCAATTTTGGCTGGCTACTACTCCTAGTGACTTGTAGATTAGGTATGTATTTTCCATGTTTGGCCAATTTCCATATTTGTTTTTTTAAGTTGTTCCATGATAAAAAAATGGACATAAGAGTGAAATGAACTTCCAAAGTAACTTTAATCCGTGATCTCGTGGCATTTGAGAACCTTGCCAAGGTATATGCATTTAATTCTACCTCATCCAATCCTTCCAATCCCCCTTCCTTTTTTTCAGCCATTCTAAAGAGGTGGTGGCCGTGGTTCCTTCCTTTGGGCTTAATAATCCTGGCGGACGACGGATGATGGCGTTTGCCACCAGCAGCTCTCGGAGAAACTTTAGGGCCGGGATAATGATGTCACATGCCCATTTCATTCCTTGTTAAGGGACTTATGGCCTCTCCCTTGTACCTCCAAAAAAGGAGTAAAGGCTCATAATTGATCCCTTGTCTGTATCATGTATGTATTATCCTTACCTTCCCCAATTAATGAGGTTGTTGCAGGTTGGTAGTCCTTTTGTTTTTGAATGAGGTTGGACCGCTCAAAATCGTAATCATCAAACAGCGTTTTAATATGTACAGCGTAGTAAATAACCAAACCAGTAAACAGGACAGCTCTCAGAGATCTGCTCAAAAGGGACGGATAACTCTCGAACGTCGGGTTGTCGGTTGAATTAGCATCGCTTTCACGGAAATTATATGTTAGAGTACAATTTTATGGGAATTTAAATTGATGGTAAAAAAAAAATCAACTCTTATAAAATGGAGTAGATTTATAGTAACAACAACTTACATTGAATAAGGGTATTTTAGAAAAATTAAAATACAACTACATTCTTCAATTGAGAAGTGAACTATAGGCCCTGTTTGGAAGCTAGTTTTTTGGGCAAGTTTTTTACCTACAAGTTTTTTAACAACTTTTGCTACAGGAACCCAAAAAACTTCTCAAAATTTTTTACCTACACACTTCAAAATACACAAAACACACACAAATTCCTCCACCATCCCAACCCAATACACAAAACACACATAAAAAAAATACCCCTCCCTTTGGCTTTCTTCTTCCTCTACCATCCCAACCCAGTCCACCACCTCCGTCACCGACCACCACCACCTCCGGCGCCATTTTCTTTTTTTTTTTTTTTGCCTTTCTCCCTCTCCCTGCCATCCTCCTCCTTTACCCAATTTGACTGCATTCCTCTTTTTTTTTTTTTTGTGTGTCCCCCGCAACCCTCCCCCTCCAGCGACCAGATCTGGTCCCATGACCAGATCGCAAAAGTGGAGGGGAGGGGAGCTGCGATCTGTTCGCACAAGGGCGACGAGGCTGCTGAGGGTGACGGAGATAGATGAGGGGAGGAGAAAAAGGAGGTGGCAGGCAGCGGGGGTTGGCGGGGCAGAGGGAGAAGAGGGGCGGCGGCGAAGAGGGGAGGAGAAGAGGTGACGGGCGGAGGAGACGGGAGAGGAAAAGGGGTGGCGGGTGGCGGGGGAGAGGGGAGGAATATGGGTGGCGGGTGGCAAGGAGAGTGGAGGAAAAGGGGTGGAGAGCAGAGGGGGGTGGCGGGGGAGGGAGAAGAGGAGTGGCAGAGGAAAGAAGGGGAAGGGGAAAGGGAGGGAGGGGGAAGGGGAGAGGGAGGGTGACGGCAGAGGGAGGGAGAGGGGGAGGGGTAGGGGGTGCTGCGTTGCTGCGGGGAGGGGGGCTGGTAACGGGGAAGGGGGAAGGGAAGGAAGAAGAAGAAAAAGAGAAGAAAGAAAAGAAAAAGAAAAGAAAGAAAAAGAAAAAGAAAAGAGAAAGAGAAAAAGAAAAGAAAAAAAGAAAAAAAAAAGTTTTTCCTCTTAAAAACTTCTACAAAAAAATTTTTCACCTTACAAAAAATTTTACACAAATTTTTTCAAAAACTTCTACAGTGTACTACAGTAAAGTTTTAGACAAACTCCCAAAAAACTCAGGTTCCAAACAGGCCCATAATTTGGAACAGATAAAAAAAAAGAAAAACAGGACTATCAAAGTAGGACGGAGAAAGTATATTTTTTCATACATCAAAAGAATTGTGCACAACAAAATTAGACGAGTATAAGCTAAATCGTGTATTAAATACAGTATAACAAACACACAATTTCCCGTAATGATTAGTGTGACAACCATGACAATTGCACATATCGTCAAACAGATATTAATTACAAGCGAAGGAAAAGAGCTAATATGAGTCACATGAACCAGAGAAAGAAAAGCCAGTGCCAAAGCAAATCAAAAGAGTGCACTACTATCGCCATTATGCTTCCCAAATTACATCAGGCGACTGAGAGTTTTGTGGCTGTAGTAGAACTCCAGCCTGGTTAGGAATTAGGAGGAGTCCCTTCCTTCGAAATTTCAGGGTCCATAGGGCTTAGATTAAAAACTTTTATTATAAATGTTTTTGCAAATATTTTTAAAATTTAAAACTTTGTTAAGGCCTATTCAAAAATATTTTTATCTTCCCTGACACAAGGGTTCACCAACCTCTCTCCACCTTCTCTTCTCTAGCCACCACCAGGCCTGTTTCCTCTCTCTTCTCACTCTTAACTGTTCTTTTTCTTCTTCCCTCTCATTTTTCGTCCCGTCCTTTCTCGTGCATCTATTCACCTTCTAGTTGTAGGGAGAGAGAGGAGAAAAAGAAAGAATAGGGAAAGGGAGGGGTGGTGGTGGAAAATGAGAAGAAGAGATAGAAGAGAGAAGAGGAGGTTGGGCGGTGGTGAAGGAAGAGGAGAGGTTGCCAAGGTGTGGGTGATGGTGGCAAAAGGTTGGAACTGGTGGTGGCTGGAAGTAGGGGTAGTGGTAAAGAAAGAAAGGTGTGTTGAGTTATATTTGAAAATTTTTAAGTTATTTCTTTTCTTGGAATATTTTTGGGCTGCTGTTATTATAGACTTTGTATGTATATAATTTTTTGATCGATCATCACAAACTACACCTACGCCTTGCCTGCAATGGGATAGATACTAAACCATTACCAGGCCAAATAAATGCAGTAAGGGCCTGATCTAAGTGTCTTGTGGTAGTCAAGTCGCCACAAAGACACCTATATTTATGGGAGTCAAAGTTTGAATTCTTTGTTTTTTTTTCAAAAAAAAAACACTTAAGTTTCTTTTTCAAAAAAAAACACTTAAGTCCCTTGTGATGGCTAAGTTGTCTAGGACAATTGAGCACCCACAAATACACTAAAGCACCCGCTGCAGATTTTGTATTTGAAATATAATTTTTTCCAAGAAATTAGAACCCATACATAGCCTCAATTTTTGGTTCGCTCAATTCCAAACACCCAAACGTGAACTAATACCTTTTTTTTGTTTTTTTTTAGGGCAACTTGAACTTAAAAGCGCACGGACATGTCCTATCGCGCAGGAGCATGTTAATACCAAAATGCCCCACCCATCAGCCATCTTCAGGACATAGTTAGGATCCTACCCCAATTAAGAGATACAGAAGACAGCCCAATGCAGCCGTTTTGTGGGCAACACATTTGAGTGAATTGTAAACCCCTAAAAATGATTCAGGCCTATGGCCTACTTATCAGAAACCCATTTAAGTGGTGTTTGTTCTGTCGTCAATTTTAGTATCATTTGCAGATTCATTTTGCAATGGATAAGACAACGATGGCATACCAGAAAGAGTGGGAAATAAAAGGATTTTGACCTCCAACCTTCATACAAACACTAACAAGTTAACAACCATCAACGACTATAAATAACACACACACTATTTAAGGAAAACTCACAATCCAATCCAAAAGGCATGCTGACTTTCAGGCTACACTGAGGATTTTAAGTAGTACACACACCACTCACAATCGATGTGGAATAGAGGGAAAGGGGGAGGGGAAACACCAAGACTATTGTCAAAGGCTCACCAACGGCTTTTAACCATTCCATGATTTTCCTTATCCACCAACAACCATAAATAGTACACACACACACTACCTAAGGGAAACCCACGGCTCAACCTAAAAGATATGCTGACTTTCACTAACAAGTTAACAACCGAAGTGACGGATAGACGAACAGATAAAATTCATACAGTTTCATCAATGAAATGATTAGTTAAATCAAAGCATTATTTTTTTTCAATACCAGACCAGGCTAAAATTTGAAGGAAACGAATACGAAATATATAAATATGCAAAATCATTTGCATTTAAAATGCACCTACTTTTTTATATATAAAGGCTTTATTGTATTCAAAAATTTAGCCTTCATTTCTTTTGAAAAGAATGATTATTTGAAAAAAATATTAGTTTGAATAATTCATGTAACCGTTGTTGTGATGTAATGTTTGTAAAATAAAAAATAATTAAAAATGTATAAAGATAGAAAAAATGTGTTTATAATGCAAATAAAATAATATTTAGAAAAATCTATGCATCAAACACACTTTGCAGTAGAAATGTTCAATTGAAAATGATACACATAGATGTATTACAGAAGTTAGGACGTGGGTAGAGACATTTGAGTACGAAATTTCCGGTCTTTGCACCATCACCAAATATATATATATATATATATATATATATATATATATATAAGTAGGCTCAATTGAAAAAAATAAACCATTTATTCATAAAAAGGTTGATGTGAGGGTCATGTTAATGTATGTTTGAATTTCGCTGCTAATGTAAATATTGTATCGGTAATGATTTGCAAGAAGCTCTATAAATGATCTATGATTTAGGAGGCGTTTCTTGATCTACAGCGGTGATTGAAACCGAATCAAACCACACTTTCTTCTTCTTAAAAAAGAAAAATATCCTGTCTCAAGGACCAATAAATAGAGAACAAGAATTGAGAATTTTGGCTATAAGCATCAGGGCCTAAGCAATAACAATCATCTTCCATCAACAGCCGATTCCACCATGGAAACCATACAATCTCACATAGCCTTTTTACCATCTCCAGGAATGGGTCATCTCATTCCTCTCACTGAATTCGCCAAACGACTTGTTCTTCACCATAACTTCTTAGTCACTCTTATACTTCCCTCAGACGGTTCACCCATGAGCGCCCAAAAATCCTATCTTCAATCACTACCCGCAACCATAACTCCCATCTACCTTCCTTCGGTTAGTTTCGACGACCTCCCTGAGGATACCAGGGTCGAAACCCGTATCGCCCTCACCATTTCTCGATCTCTTCCCGCAATTCACGATGCATTATTTCAGTTGCTAATAACCAAGCCATGCTCACGTCCTATCTCAGCTCTAGTGGTTGATCTTTTTGGTTCAAATGCTTTCCGATTGGCTAGGGATTTAAACATGTCATCCTACATGTTTTTCACATCGACTGCAATGTCCTTTTCCTTACTCGTACATTTGCCAAAGCTTGATCAAACCTATACATGTGAGTATAGGGACTTGACCGAAGCAGTGGTGTTACCCGGATGTGTTCCACTGCTCGGGAAAGACTTTCTTGATGCTATTCAGGAGAGGAAGAATGATGCTTATAATCTTCTTCTCGAATTATGCAAGGAATATGGTTCCGCCGATGGGA